TGAGAGTCGCAACCCAGCCCGTGGAGTGAAGCCGCGTCGCCATTAACGGAGAGCGCCGATTCCTTCCTGAATCTGAAATTGACCACAATACTCGTGAGTAGGACTGAGTAACTTAAATGGGACATCTAAATTGAATTCCGAAATTCGGCTGAAAACGGGAAAGGCATAAAATAAGGAAGTCTGCCTCCCCGACTGCATGATTCTTAAAGCAACGGAAAAGTAGAACTAAGCAGGAGAGCCCACCTTTTTGGGGTGAGTCAAGGAAAAAGGATAGAATATTAACTTCTATGATTTCGTAAAAGAAGGACTGAGCAGGAGTATAAGAGTGGATTTTTAGAAATTCTTTGTTGTATGTAAACCCCCCTCCCGGGCCCGGGAGCGCCCTGCTGTTGAGCCTGTTGAAAAGGAAAGGAGTTTGACAGCTGTCAAAAGCTGTCAAACGGGCAATTTAAAAGGGAAAAGCCTGTTATTCAAGACCTCTCTGGACTAAATAAAATATAATTGAATCCAAGTGGTTGGAAACAAAGAAACTAGTAATGAAGTAAGAGATTGTTGGGAAAAGACTACTAAGTAACTAGATTCCCTCTAGGGGGAACTTTGTGACATTACAATGGCTGCAGATGGAAATTTACTGGCTGAGATAGAAAGAACATTTATCTTTTGGGAATTTTACAGAACAGACTTTTGCAATGAATAAACAACTTGTGACCTTGACTTCTGGAATAGCAACTCTGCTGAAGTAATGAGGAACTGTATGAGAAAAATCTGCAGCTGAATTGGAAGAGATATCGCAAGAAGTGGAGACAAAACAAGTAAAGGAGAAGCACCGTTGGAAAGTACCAAGCCTTACAATGGTGTTTATAAACAAAAAGACTTTGGATTACATGGATTAAAAATCTGCAAAAGAAGCGAAAGATGAAGGAGGAAGCCCCTGGAATACTGGAACTTTAGAACTTAAAAGAAAGGAAAAATATGATTGGGACCTCCATCTTGAACTTGAATATGAAGGATGGTTGGAGCTTCTGCAGCAGTTGTCTTTAAAGGCTGTGGAGGGAACAAAATCTCGCTTGATCGGGACAGAACTCCTTAAGATCTTAAGACCAACGTGAAGGCCTACCAACAAATTCGGCGGAGAGGAAGGAAAGAAATTCAACCGCCTCGGACGTGAGGAACCCAGGCTAAGGACTGTTATTGTGGGCACATATCTGGAAGGGGCAGAAACCGGGGATGGGAAGGGGAAAACAGAAACCTGTGGTTTCTTTTTTTACTTTTT